CCCCGCCCTGCGGGGCCACAGAGAAAAAGACCCGCCTGGAGCTTCCCTCGGCCCCAGCCCTGAGCACCCTCCTGCACCCCAGCCCCCTCATCCTACCCCCCCAGTGCCTGCACCCCCAACCAGAGCCCTCACCTTCCCGCCCCCAATCCCTGCCTCAGAACCAGATTCCCCTTCCGCACCCTGAACTCTTGGGCTCCACCCCCCATCCCAGAGCAACCTCCTGCACCCCACATGCCTCATTCCTGGCCCCCTAGAGCCCACACCCCCAGCCAGAGCCCTCATCCCCTCCTGCACCCCAACCCTCTGTCCCAGCCCGGAGCCCCCTCCTGCATACCCTGAACTTGCCGTTTCCGGCTTCGGCCCAGCGCCTGCACCCCCTCCTCACCTAGCCCCTGAGTCTGCTGGGAGTAGCAGGGGGCAGGGGGGAGGAAGATGCAGTGAGTGGGGGCAGGGCAGGGACAGTGCCTTAGAGGAGGGGCAGGGGTAGGGCAAAGGGGTTTGGTTTTGCGTGTGCAGAGTTGCCAGGCCGAGGCGGGGTCTCGTTCTGCCCCGAGTCCTGTCTGCTTGGGAACTGAGCTCCCCTCTCCAGAGCCCCTGGAGATCACAGTCGCTCCATCGCGGTCTGTGGACGCCTCAGCCCTACTCTATAGAAACCCCTCCTGGCCCCGCCCTGCCCCCAGCTTTGCTAAAGAACCTCACCCGCAGCAACCCCTAGGCCAAACTGCCCTTCCCCTCCCCCCGCTGCCAGCCTGGGCGGTGTGCCGGTCGGGGGAGCCGCGAGGCGGCTCAGCAGGGATCGGTGTAGCTTGGCCTGTCCGTGTCACCGCAGGGTGTGTGTGCTCAGGGCCAGGCGAGGCCCGTGAGCGACGGGGCTGGGGGCTGGGTTTGCAGGCTGCTCATTGTCCGCTTTCCCCGGGGCTGGGCGTAGGGTAGGGTGGCTACTCCGGGCATCGCTTTGGGCTTTGCAGCTGGGTGAGGAGGGGTCTCCGGATCCCCCCGCACACAGCGCAGTGGGCAGGAGGTGGAGCACGTGCCCTGCTCCGTCGCCCGCATGGGGGGCGGCCGTGAGCCTGTTCTGGAACTGGAAAGGAAAGAAACGGCCTGTCCGGATGCCAGAGAGCAGGGCCCGGCAGGCGGCGGGGGGCGCTCGGAGCACCTGGAGTGCCTGGTGTCGCGGCACGAGCGCTCGCTCAGGATGACGGTGGTGAAGCGACAGGCCCAGTCCCCGTCCGGCGTCTCCAGCGAGGTGGAAGTCCTCAAAGCGCTCAAGTCGCTGTTCGAACATCACAAGGCGCTGGATGAAAAGGTGAGCTGGGCCGCAGCGGGGCTGGAGCCAGCTGGGGCGGCCCCCGGCCATCGCCAGCTGCCCCGCACCTGGGACACGGCCCCCCGGGCTGGCTCTGGCTGGCGCCCAGCCCCCTCCGTCTTTGTGAGGGCCTAGGGGCAGGCAGCTCCCAGAGGGAACCCGCAGGCGATCACCCCCCTCGCGAGACCTCTCCGGGAGGGAGTGCTGGCTGGTCGACACCGCGCTTCAGAGCCGCTTGCTCTGTGCCGCCGGCTCCCGTCTCCCCTGCCGGCTGCTGGCGCGAGGGGCGGACGGGCCGGCAGAGCCTCCCTGCAGGGCTCTGTCCTGTCTAGCTTCAAACCTCCGGGGCCCTGGGGCTTCCACCCTGTCGGGGCGGCCGGTGTCATAGGCAGGGGAAGGCCTTGCCTTCCCAAACCGCCAGGCACGGCCCTGCCCCCAGCACACCGACGGCAGGAGTACGGGGGACGGAGTGTTGCTGCCCTAGCGCCCACCCACGGGTGCTTCAGGTTCTGGGAAGTTGGGGCCATGTGCTCTCCTCCCTTCCCTTGGTGCTGGGGGGCCGCACGCCACCCTCCCTCCCCGTGGTGTGTGGGGGCGGGGCCTGAGCAGAAGGGGTGGGATTCGGGGTTTGCCTTCCCAGCCCTACCTTCACCTACCACCCATGCGCCCTGCCCCATGGGAGGCCCATCCACAGCAGCTGGGCCCGGGTCTGTTTCTCGGTATCGGCCTGTTTCTCCTGACTGTGTCGCTGGTGTCCTACCCGAACCCCTACCCCCTCCTGTGCCACCTCACCTGTCCGAGAGGCACGCTGGCGCCCAGCTGGCCTCGCGCGGAGCGCAATTGCCCCCCCGCTCGCGAGCCCAGCGTCCGAGTGCAGCAGAGAACGGCGGGAGGGAAGCCCCTCCGGCCACGTGAAGGAGGAGAAAACGGGAACATAAAGCCGTGAGCAGGGCCCCCAGCCCGGAGCGCGGGGGCAGCCCAATGATCCTGTTCTGTGCCCCCCTCTGTTCCCTCACCACCCCGCGCCCCAGGCGCTGTCCCTGGGCCCAGAGGAGCCAGGGTTCAGAGGTGCCTCTGCGGGTTCACCTCCCTGCGGGGGACGAGGGCCCCTGGCTTGCTCGGCCAACTGAGACGTGCTGTAGCTGGCT